AAAGGCTCCTTTGGGATCTTGGAGAAGTCACTTCTGTGCCTCCGTTTCCCCTTGGTACACTGGGGATAATAGTCCCCCTGTTTGTAAAGGGCTTGGGGACCCTCGGCTTGAACACAAAAGGACATTTTCAAAAGCACCTACGTGACTTTGAGGCCTGTTGAAAGGCAGAGTCCCACCCGGAGTGTTATCAGCCAGGTGGGGGTGCGTTGGGCATTACAAACCCCTGACCACTCACCTGCCAGGAAAAGCCCCAGGACACAGAGAGTCAGGGTGGACTGGGCCATGGTGCAGGGAGGAGATGGAGGTGGACAGGAAGGAGCCCGAATTGGCAACTCTGCTTATGCCTGTTTGCAGCTTGAGCCCTGGCTCTGGGCAACCCTCCAGGCACCTTTAAAACCATGAGGGGCAGGGCTGAGACTGGCTAGTATGCAAATGAACCCCAAGGGTGGGGCTCCGTGAGTCTATTGGATACACTGATCTCTGGTTATTCCCATTACATCTTGCAATGCAAATCAGCCATACGGACCTGCATGAAGACCTGATCCCCCATCCTTCCCTGGGGTCACAGCGTCTCCCTGTCGGACCTGCCCCACTTAGACAAAGGTTAGAAATGTCCAACTTGAAAATTCAAATGCAGAGAAGGGACTAACGGCAGCACAGATGGTAACTGAAATGCTGCAGAGCTGTTGCGCCATCTGTATCGCAGCAGCTCGACCGCCTTGTCTAGAATCACAGCGTATAGAAAACCGGGAACGAAAGGCGAGGAGGAGTAAAGAGAACTGGAACGACTCGGACTGAGTCTCTCAGTGGCCAGAGCTCGTGCGTGCTTACGGGTAAGAATTGTCACGTGGCACCATTGCACCATGGGAAAACCAAAAGGAATCAGAGACGCGCCTTTTACAAGCCTCCCCCCAAACACACACCCCAGTGTGTCTGGAAAAGGAGCAGGGACCGGGCAACAAAGGGGACAAACATGAAGAGATGGTTTCTCATCCAATGAGAGCTGCATTGTAGAGAGAGAAATTCTCTATAAACCCCTCACTGGTGTGTCGGCAAAAACACTTGGGCACTTCTGGACCCCGCTGCTAATTCTAACACTTGCACACACTCTTTAAATAGCTTCACACCTGCATGAAGGTAAGGGTTGATATTTGGACCTACAAAGCCTATTGTCACACACACACACACACACACACACACGGGAGTGAAGATTCTCCTCTGTAAAGCACTATAAGATGTTGTGACAGAATATACCCCTGTGTCCACTAATGGAATAATCTTTGTACAAAGTATGTCTTTGGAGGTATGTCTTAAAACCTCATAATCTGCTGGTCATTATTGTCCTGGTAAAATATGTGTGGCAACATTGTATATAAAGTTATAAGATTCCACTATATGGTGTTATTAACACGTTCCAAGTCTGGGAAGTGGCCAAACCAGTTCCTCGGAGATAAAGGGCAAGCTCACAACTCAGCCAGGTGTAAACAAGACCAATGAACCATTACCTGCTAAGCGGCTATTCATTGGCAGGGAAAAGGGCATGGGTGAAAAAATCTACATCTTAGCAAAGAAACAGCATGGAGGTCCCGTCCACACAGACCGCCTGTTGCCATGCTC